AAACTTCAGTGACAAAGCCAAACAATACATGTCAAAAACGTAACCACAAAAGTAAGTTATTTGAGAAGAGTTTTATTTGAAGAAAGTAAAGAACTTAATCAGATACCTTTATAGATGAATTAAAGCGTGCTTTAATATGAAAATATATTTGCTGAGATCAGAGCGTATTCTTTTAAAGAGACACAGAAATGCTCTGTGAATTGGAGATTTTTTGCTGTTTAGTCTCACTAGCGTATCGTACCTCCTGGTACCATAAAAATATCATTTTGTAATTATAATATGAGATTCAAGAATTATGTCTTCAAAAAATATATTTTTCAAAAAATTATAAGTTTTTTCACTTCTTATTTTTGATCTGGTTTCCTGTCTAATCTGCTTTTATGCGTCTTTCAACGTTTCTCGGAATCTGCAGAAGGCAGCTTTCAAACGAAGTTTAAATTGCAAAAATTTGGGCAAAAGTAAAATAGTCTATAGATCACCAAATTTAGCAAAAATTTTTTTTGGGGGTTTGGGATGGTCCAACTTTACCGCCAGTGCGTTTTGTGAGGTAATCACTGCTGACCTTTTAGTTGAGTATCAAGTCTTATAAGTTGGAAAAGAGGGAAAAAGCGAGAGAGATCGGTTAGAAGAGTGTTTCGTTTGACGTTGTACAGCTATTACGTAGTTTTGACCTTTTCCTTGAAAAATATAGAAAAAAATTTTTTGATGGAACATTGTTTTAGGATTAGGATCACAACCCCAAAATGTTTCAAATCCGCTTCTCATGTCTACGTTACAGCACTTGCAAGGTTTTACTGGTTCTGGAGGTGCAGCTCTGTTGCCAAGCAGGCCTGCGTTAACTATCAATGGCCAATTAGCTAACGATTTTGGAGCCATTGCCAACATGGGTTGGTCATCTCAAAATTCGAGTAACGTTTGGCTGGAACAGGTAAGTGTCAGTGCGCACTGCGATCATTTTTTGGTATTTTGTAGAGAATTAGAAGCTGCTCAAGTATCATTTAAATAGTACAAATTTTCGACGCCCTTACCTGCTATGGTCGGATTTATATTGTTTATATATGAGTTTGGAACTTTGCAGAAATAAAGTTTGAAAATGACTCAGCTCGGTGGAGCTATTTTGGTTTCTGGTGTTCTTGTTACTACATTAGGATTTTATCTTTATCCTTCAGTTCGTTCAGTTAATGTATTGGTTTTACCGTTTTTTTATGAAGCAGTTCGTTCTTATTACCCAAAAGTGCCTTTATTCAATGTATGAGCTTGCTTTTTTTTGGTTTATTAAGTTTTTCAAGGGCAATAACCACCGGGAAAAATCTTTCAGTATGTTGAAAGAGTTAGAGTCTTTGGAGATTTTGAATGTTGAAAACGTGTCTTTGATTTACAAAATAGAAATGAAAAGTTTGTTTCATTACGCAATAAATGAGCTGCTACTTTTGCTTATTTTAAGCATGACTTTATCTGTAAATCATAAATTGAGAGTCTTAATTGATCACATTTATAGACAGTAGTAAGTTGCAAACTAAGAAAACATATTTTTATATATTTGTATATGATTATTCTTCCCTTTCAAGTGGAAGAAATAAATTGCGCTTTTTTGGTTTCCAAGTCCGGTTATATTTCCTTATCACATTATAAGTTAGTTTTTACTTAAACATAAATAAGTAGAAGTGGTTCTGTTAGCGTAACATTTTATCAGTTATTCCAGTCGTATTTTCTTTTGATCCCTTCTGCACGTTACCGATTCCTATGGAATGTTCTCATAACTTTTTATTTTCGCTTGCCACAGTCATTCTGAACCAGTCCATGAGAGCTATTTAGAGGCTTTGCTAATGTTTATAGTCTAAGAGTTGAGATTTTTTGGACGGATATCTCTTTTCTTTTTTTTTTTTTTTTTTTTTTTTTTTTTT